AAAATCGCTCAATGCCCGAAAAAGAAAGCGATAACTCAGACTGGTTAAATTGTCTTGCAAAATGTTCGGCCCAACGCTCCAAGCGTTTTGACAAGTTGTGGATCGGTTGTGCACTCTCGTCACGTATGCTCTCGCTAACAACAGGTCTCCAGCTGCTTGTTTCCCGTATCAGGCGGAATAACTTACGATAATTATCAACGGTAGCAGCTGTTTCCATCTCCGAGGCAGGATGAGGCCACCAGACTTTGCGGTCTTTCTTCAGGCTAGCACGCAATTTTGTCCTGAGATTTTTGCGAGTCTCGTTGTATTCGCTTCCACTCGGAGTATGTCGGCGAGCATCCATAAGTTCCAGAGACTGTGTAGAAACCCAATGTCCAGTTTGGTAATTTGATTTGCGACATAAAGACATGCCTGCTGATAGTAACGTTTGACGAATATGCGACCAGTGATCTTCGACGGTGTTCAGTGTGTGCTTACTCAGCCCGGAGGTCAGCGCACTTTGATACAGATTCAGAACACTTGGTTTCGCCAGCTGGCTGGTGTCAATCCTTTGACATACACGTTGCAGAAGTCCACCCAAATGCATCTGGAAGTCGTCTCAAGCAAGTGCGTGGTCAGAGTCCACGCTCGGACTCCAAATCGAGCGACAGTTTTGGACACAGCCTCTTCAGCGGTAACTAATCGCGATGTGATCGATTTGCGTCCATGGTTGGCTTGAGGCTGGTAGGCGCCAAGTCACCCTTCTGCGGGTGCAATGTCGAAAGTTAGTGCTCGCGAGAAAGTGACGAGCACCTTCGCACAGGTGTAGCTACCGTTCACCATTATCATTACGGGAGCATACACAGCTCGGATGAAGCTTATCAGAGGACGGTTTTCTAACTTGCGCGTTTAGATCACCAGCAAGCACTACAGTATCCGTGCTTCTTCTGGTACGAAGAAGATCGTTAAAATGCTGATCGAAATCATCTTTCACTGAATCAGGACTGCGGTTTGTAGGGGCGTAAGCCGCAATGACAAACAGGCAATGTTTGTCCCCTTGCGACTTCGAAGTCTGGACCGAGCTAGCCAACTTAACGGCGCACATCTGGCTGTTGACAGGGATCCAGTCTATCAGAGCAGCAGCCCGATGACCCAAAACAATACCGATGCCAGCTTGGCCCGCATTTGAAGCTGCGTCATCACCAGACAGGTGCAGTTAGAGTATGCCGCCAGTGTCACGTGGGGGATCGCTGAGTAAGCACGGAGCTCGAATCTTGTAGGCGGATTTCCGATAAATAGCAAATATCAATCGAGAGGATCTCCAGTGTTCAGGCAAGTGCTACCTTTTGACCAATCTATAGCAAAGTGCGCACGTTGAGACATGCCAGTCTTACTGAGACTCGAGGACTCCAAATGGAAACGGATGAACTGACGTTGTCCGCTTGGTTGAACATGGTCTTGTCGACTGGGTTGGAGCGACTCCCTTCGATTGTGCGTGAGTTGAAACTAGAAGACAAACTACAATTAAATCAAAGTGTGAGGGTGCCAAGAATTGGAGGATTGAAAACTGGAGATGAAAGTGAAGTTGGAACGGGACGCTAAGGATGAAAAAGCGCAGGACGGCGAATAAGAAGGTGGGAAGGCTTGAGCAGTAGCATCCAAACTCTTGTCAACTCTGCTCGATGCAGCAGATAGGACGCCGTTTATTATCCTCTGCGACGACCAGAACATCCAGAGATTGTTGGAAAGAAAGGTCATGGTGTATTGCGTGGGCAGGATACTGTCAGGTTGCCCAGGGCTAGAAGGGAGAACTATTAGGGTTCTCAACCAAAGCCTTTGATTCAAAAACCTTATCGCAAGGCAGCGGGGTTTTGGCACTAATCTACATAGAGCCCATTTATGGAGTAAGGAGACACCCTCACTCCAACCCTCAACCTGGAGAGCCAGGAGACTGAGTTTGCCTGACCTCTAACCATTGACCAATCTGGCATGAGTGGCTCTGAAGGTGCAAAAAGCACCATTCAGCATAGCTCAATGAATCAATGAGGCACACGTGCCATCGCACCATGTTAAGGTCCAGTCGCATCGCGATGGACGAATGCTAGGCAGTGATAATCAGGCGAGTTCCTTAAAACAACAGATATCACTGAAGAAGTTGTGTTGGCTTGGGCACGTACTATGTATGCTCGGTTACTGTTTATCGAGGATGTCCTTGCTTTCTCTGCCGGATGTAGGATGGCGGAAAGCTCGAGGTGGCAAAAGTTAACTTTGCCGTGAGAAATGAAGTCACTGACGACCCAACTGTGTGCCGTCAGTCCGTCTCGCCTGCCACGCTGGAGTCCATGTGACTGTCCTTGTGCTTGGCTGAAGACATTACAGGACATGGCTCACAGTCGACATCAGTGGCGCGGCTGCTGCCGTCTCGTATTCGGACTGCCTGTGTGTGGGTGCTGAGTTACCCGTTAGTAATGGCTGAATATGACGCGTTGCAGTGAAAGCCGTAAGGAAGCTGTTTCGCCGTTGCCGCCTTATCTTTGCACTATAGCCAATTCGTGACGGTATATTGTTGTCAAGGTGTACGCGCCTTGATCCTGAATCTTTTCTTGGTTCATTAAGGTTTTCCGGTAAGTCCTCCTTCTCTCCCTCTTATTCTTCGTTCTTCGTTCCGTTGGTCATTATGGTTGTATGGCGGCGAAGCATAAATTCAAATGGTTGATGTACTGCTGTTTATGATGATGTGGATGGTGATGGTGAGTCTAGGTTCGTGGGTATCATAAAAACATAGTGAAGGAGTTTCTAAAATGCATATTCAGGATCTCGAATAGTTCTTCTTGGTTAGTAACCACTGTTTTATCCGGTAGCACTAATGATTTAATGGGTGTCGCATTAATAGTGCCACTGCATTTAAGCTGACAATTATGTGCCTTCCACGGTTTTACGCTTGTACGTGCTAACTTAGCCGAAGCCTGTTTCTCCTCTGTAGATTAGCTTCATTAATGCGCATAATAAGATGAAACTCCTTAGTCTTGTTATATTTTGACCCTATTTTGAGTTTGATAAACAGTGCTTTTGAAATAATAGCGGATTGGTTGTGAGCTCGGTTCACATCCGCATTCCTTTAGTGTTCAAAATGACTTGATGCACTGGTAGCTCGGGTTGATCGTTCCTGGGTTCACTGGTTCCCCGAGCTTCGGAATTGGGATGCAAACGTTTCATCACCAAATGTGGTGACTTCGTCAGTGCGTTGCTGGGTCAAATGTAATCCACTGACTTGTTCGTCGCTTTGTAATCGATCAGCAAGTGACTTTTGAACTGACCTTTTCGTTCTGTGCACCGTGACCTTCACCGGTCCGCCCAATTCTGATAGACACGGGCGATGCGTGGGATGGTTTTACCCCGGCTGTTGCTGACGTGTTGTTGATGGCTCGTTTAGCTGACCACAACAGTTTTTTTAAAGGTGTTTTATTTCCATCCGTCTTAACGTTTGGTACACTGGATCAAGCTCTATGTGCATGTTTATCGAATGCTGCATAGACTACCATGCTTCGAGGAACTCTTCCTCGTGAAGTTCGTTATAGGTGCAGCCAATTAAAGTTCAAGTTATTCCCCAATGCTCTGTATCCAGATTGAATCTTCAGGGTTACCAATAGGCAAGATTTTCAAGGTGTAAACGTGGGAATCCTCACTTACATGGCTAATGGATCCACGACCTCGCTTAGTAACGCACTTATTAAAGAAACTTCTGTAACCTGGGATGTGAACAAATGTCAGGCACACTAGATGAATGTCACCTTTCGGTAACGACCACCTCCTGAAGATCAAGTAGAAAGATAACCGGGCCTAATAAGTGTATCTTATGCTTAATTGATCGTGCGTTGATGAGAAGCGCACTAATAAGCACACAGCAGTTTAAGCGGTGTGTTATGGCTGCCGTATAGGTATAAAGTTCAGCGGAGTCATGCTTGTAAACATTCGCTGACTCCTCCTGTTAGTATTTGTAGACTTTGACGTCCCTTTCAAAGTAGTGGTTTTGTACACGGCCGTAGATGCTGCAGGTGGCGAAAACAAGACTGATGCAGTAGTGTGAGAGGTAGTGCGTCGTTTGTGGGCAGCCACGTAGTCATTGCTGGGATTGTCATCTACCGTAGCTGGGTTGGCAATGGGCAACCAGATAGTGGATATCAATAATTTGTGGGAGTCCATGACACAATTCTAGCTATGGGGCTTTCTTTGTTGAACTGGTGCGTGGAGTCGCAACCCACTATATCCCATAAAAGGGGCCGGGTGATGGTAAGAGTGAGGCAGATATCTCAAGTCGTTGCGAGAGCCCAAAACCCAATAGATAATAGGTAGAACTTTGCCGAAATCTGTTATCTGTATAGACCAATCTGTTAGTTATTTTAGCGCGTGATTGCTCATTTGGTGATACTCGGTATTCTTCAGCAGGAACTTACTAGTTGCGCGTCGTGTTGTGGGTTCTAGCTGATATACCCGTCGAGATGATTGCATAGCCTGGTTAAGCAGGTATTGCGGAGCTATCTAGGTCTGAGTTCCCATAAGTACCTGCTCGTATCAAAATTTGGATGGGGACTTCGTACATTTCACCTTTGGGTCAAGAAGTGGTTTTCATCATGGTGCAGAGGAGAGCACATTTGAACACATGGAGTCAGAGATGTCACGTCTTTTAGGTAGTTTTTTACCTGCGATGAACAGGTGGATGGAATGGGTTTTGGGATTTGAACATCATGAAACTCAGCAGCGCTACCGCTCTCAAATTAATTGTCCTCCTCCTGCATGTCGGAGTCCTTTTATTGTGGAACACTTGATACCGCATTAATAGCGACATTGTCTAGGAGTGGTATCAACGCTGCGGTGTCGACTTCAGTCTCCGTTATTGTCCACGACGTAATTGTTTGCTTTCTTGTAGTTGGGATTACTTACAATGCCTAGTTGAAATCACCACACTAGTTGGATCATTGCAACATGTCATTGAAAGAAGCCATGTTCCATTTCAAAACTCAATGGATTACTGTTTATTCCCCACAGGACTTCAAAGTGTTACTGGTCCATCACATGACCACTATCGCCCTACTGACATTCTCCTATCTGATCAATCATCACCGCATCGGATCGTTGGTCCTCGTTGTTCACGACATTGCCGATTGCTGGATGGAGGTAAGGAGAGTTATACGATTGTTCTCTCTAGTCTGAACTTGTCATTCGGCTGTCAGCACTATGTGTTTAAATGTTGGATTCGGTAAACTCACGAACTCTGTGTTTGCATTTTTGCCAATTCTCTGACCTTTCCTTGTTTTATGTCCCCTTGTACATGCTTTTTGGACATCATGAGTGTTCAAGTGAAGGGACTTTTGCGCAGGCCAGGACTAAGTGAGCTCGTTGTACGCGTTTAACAAATGGTGTTCTTCACCGCATGAGCATTCACGTTGGCTTTCCCGGAAACTTAGAGCTTGTTTTGTCGTTCTTCCATATCCAGCACGACTTAGGACTCGTGGCTTTGGCGAACTAACGATGATTTCCTGCGTGTCAATAAACTCTGAGTTTAAACCCACTAGTTCTTCACAACAATTTGGAAAGCACAATGCGAAGTAAAAATCCAGTAGATGCATTTCTTATCGTCACTTCATTGCCGATAACGATAGCCGGAAGTTATATGCAATTGTCACAGGATGTGAATAAACATGTAAGGAAACATAAAGAAACACAAGATTATCGCCCCTACATCTAAAGTAACTTCGGAATGACCGCTAATTGCTTTTGGAGACGAGATACCGGTTTCATCCGGCTTATTGCAACAGTCTCGGCGAAACACAGGAGACGGAAACTAGTATCCTACAGCATAACTTTGAATGTTGTGCGGACCACAATCCAAGCGTCTGAAATCAATAGGTGTTTGCCGATAGATGGTAGTGTGCGGGAACGCATAGTCTGAGCCACATAGTCTCACTTCATTCGGGAGCTCAGGGCCGTATCGATTCTGGCTAGGTAACTAGCTTTGCGGTAAGCACAGACTAGTATACATTATTGGACTTGGTGCCGAGACTCTGAGTTTCGTACGATGGTGACAGCAGCAGTTTGTGAGTTCGGTTGATGCTGATATCTTGGGCTTTTCGTGGTATAGATCAGACGCCTCAGTGTCGTTGACTGTGATGATGCGCTGGTCAGTGCGAAAATCGACACGTTTTTGGCGAGTCCACAAAAACGAAGCACCGCGAAATCGATGTGAACGGATTAACTGATTTCTCGGTTCAGACGAGCCATCAGTCTTCACTGACAGCCGCACTCAGTTGCAGTCTACTGCAGGATATTGAGCAACACCGGACTTGTATACAGAAAGCGATGACCACTTCCGGAAAGTCAAGTTGCGGCCTAGATAGACCTCCCTTAAAGGCTTGGATCTCTGCTCGCTCACCGGATCGCCGCAAAGGTATCCCGCTAGCATCAGATTGCTACGAGCATCGCCGCTCTGCCAGCCGTCTGCTCAAGGAAAGCCTACGCAACGACTGCGAGGTATGGTGGTCTGAGCTTACTTCGGGAATGGGAACTACTGCCCTCTGACAGTACTCGTAGGATTTTCCAACACGTTCTGTCCACTGGCCTCAGGAAGCCTGGTATTATTGAGGTTATTTACGAAGCGGATAGATCCCAATCCCCGACCAGCAAAAGCGTTTGGACCGCTGGGCCGAGCAATTCATCTGGCCTTCTTCGTTCATATTTGCGCGCAGTACTCCTTGTTGCCCCCTCATAGATCGTCCCCCTGCATCCAACCAACGAAGCCAGTCTGCCTCGGGATTATACACTTGGAGCGATTCAAGGCTGCCGGCTCAGACGGACTTCCTCCAGAACTGTTCAGGTACGGCCGTGTGACAGTCATTAACTATTGGACCTCGTTCACAAAAATGTGGCATAAATAAAAGTGCCTTTGGGGCAAATCGGTTATTGTCCCGAATTTTTACATTAGGTGCTCGCGCGTAATGTATCAATTGTCGAGGGATTAGTCTTATTTCGGTTGCCTCTAAGATTTTACATCCATTCTGTTTCGTAGACTATCCCCAATGCGTGAATGGTCCCACTGTGAAGAACAAGCTGGTTTCTGTCTCTGTCGTGCATACGTGGATCAAATCTTCACGCTCCACCAGCTCTTATAACATCGTCACATTCACAACAGATCCACCATCGTTGCATTCCTAGAAATCCGTGCTGCATTTGACTCATTTGGTTGACATGCTTTATGGCATTGTTTGCTAAACAATGCGGTCCTGGAGAAGTATACTGCCATCCTACGTGCACTTTACCTTCATATATCTGGCAGAGTGAGAGTCTACGGCAAGCTTTCCTTGCCGTTCTCTATCATTAGCCGCGTAAATCAGGACTGCACTATGTCCCCATTCCTTCACATTCGCAATCGAAGATGTCTTGTCGAGAACTCTAGAAGGTTTCCAGAATTTTGACCTATAGTTTTTACCGTGTAAGCGATAGACTGACCGACCTAGACTACGCTGATATGGCCTTCCTTGGTGACGATCCAAAGTATGCACCTCACTCCGGATCTTTTGGTGGTTGAAGCATCTAAGTATAGGATGAGTTTTGCCCCCTCGAAGTATAAAGTGCAGCTCCACGATTGACTCACATCCGCTCACGTGCTCACCTTTGAAGCTACATAGCCTGAACTGGTAGATAATTTTGTCTATCTTTGGAGCTACATTTTTTCTGGCGGCACTATCAACAAGGAACGTTCTCTTCGCATCGCTGAAGTTGGATCAGCAATTGTCAATTTGAGGCAATTGTGGCCTTTTTAGGACATCTGTGTGTCTATACAGGGCCGCGTTCACGGTACCCATGTTAGTTCAGTGTTGTTGCATGGGAACGAGTGCTGGGCAATTCGCGTGGAGGACATGTCCAGCTTTCCTCTTACGACAACGGTTGTTAGAGGAGGATCGCTCGTGTGCGGTGGCAACATAGTGAAGACGTTAGACGTCGCATCTCGATCACTTCGATTATCCTCTTCAACAAGCTGATCTGCTGCCTCACTTGAGATGGCTTGGTCACATCCTACGCGTGCCGCCTGAGCGTTTGCCGCCTTGCGCTCTATTCTTTCGTTCATGACCGGGCTGGATGCAACCGCGTGGCGGTCAGCCTTCCACTTGGAGACAGCACATATAATTGTCGACATCATGCTTTCGCGCTGCTGGACTCGTACGTTTCCCTAGATGATCACCCAAGAATGAACAGTGCCAGTGGCTTGAGGCGCTCCAAGACATGGTCCAAAAATGGAATCAATGGATGTACTGTGTGCAGAATTGCATTAATGCATATGTTTAATATCAAGCATTTAAAATGACAAATAAAGAGAAAAAAGCACTTGCTTGAGAATACCTGTAGCTCGCGGTGAGGGTGAGAGTATTGTCCTATTCTCCGAGCCGGACATTTCTGTTTCAGTCGTTTCGTTACCAAACTAGGCAACATCTTCAGTACGGAGGAGGACCACTTATTTAGCATGTTTCGGCGAAATTCGTATCGTAAAAGCTTTATTCTATGCTGCCTGATGTCGATGAGCCAGTCACAAGCGCCGTCCACATATGCAACAGAAACAAGAACGATTATATCCTACCTTACATCCATGCGATTTCGGAAATGGCAGCGAGGCTTCTAATGCCTCACGGGATAAATATTGCACACGAAGCAACGGAAACCAGCCGAACGACAAAATGTCTACGAAGGAAACATCAGGTGTAGTCTACAAAATTTCCTGCAAGAACTGCGACAAGTACTATGTAGGCCAGACTGGAAGAAAACTTGGCACAAGACTGCACGAACATAGTCTGGCCATCCGCCGCCACGATGAGAAATCCTTAATGTCATTACACATGGATGCCGAGGACCATCAGTTCGATCTGGAGAAGATTGAAATACTTGGAAGAGCAAGAAACCGCAGAGCGCGTGAGTTCCTCGAGGCCTGCCATTGTGGTCGGAACTAAATCAACAAACACCTGGAGCTGGAGGGTGTCTACGAAGCGCTGCAGGTTAAGCCAGCAATAGGCACCAGGTCGACAAGGAGAAGACATGATCACTCGACCGACTCACGTGAACCGATCGAAGGCTGACATTCGAAGCAGGTAACAATCAATAGTCATTCGGATCTGGCATTGGTTTGCGAGACTCGGGGAATCAAGACTGAATAGCCGCACTGAAGATGTTGCCTAGTTTGGTAACGAAACGTCTGAAACAGAAATGTCCGGCTCGGAGAACAGGACAAACCTCTCCTAGAACTTTTTTGTGGACTCTATGTCTGCTCTTAGGACGTTGATTCATTATATATATATATATATATATATATATATATATATATATATATATATATATAGGTTTATATCCCTTACCTATCATTACAGTAGCCAAAAATCAACATTGTACTTCACCGGACTTGATGCATAGTTATTTGACTCACTCTGTTCTCCTAATCTGCTGTACAGTAACTGTCAGCCTCAGCATGGGGCATATATATATATATATATATATATATATATATATATATATATATATATATATATATGCCTCATGTGGAGGCTGATGCTGCATTCTTGATGCTTTTTCACCGCAGTCGGACTCAACCAACTTAAACTAGGTATTTTTAAGCTGGATAAATTTCATTTCGCTTTATTTGGCTTTTTCTGCCTCCCTGAATAATGTTCTATTAACTGGCCACGTTGCTTTCACTAATTGCGCTTATCTTCGGTAATTTTGTTGTGTTTGTAGCATTTGTGGACATTTCTTGCTTATCACGGATTTGTTGCTAACCAACTTACTTTATATGGTAATTTAGCGAGGAGTTATGCCACCGTATCTGTATGGATTATTGGATTTATTTTATTTCAGCTTGTCGTTTAAAGTGAATGGCTGTTGTTTGATATCCCTGGTATGGTTGCGCTTGATGTGCATGTTGACAGGGTGCCTATCTGTCTATTACCCACTACATCGTTCATACTGGCTCCAGGAGACAGTTGGTCGTTGCTGGAGGGGACGGGGTGCACGGTTCTTGTGGCCGTGCTAGGCTCAAAGAGCGGTTCCATGCACTCAGTGTGGAGCGGACTACGGTCCAGCCACCGCCTTGTGTGCGGTTGATTCCCCAAATACAGCGTGCTTGTGTTTGCCTGTGA